TATATCGTAAAATTGATATTCTTATAATGCCACATGTTTTGTTTCAAAAGGTATATATGTTATTTTATTAAACTGAGACCTTCCTATTTTATTTGTTTGTAAAACTTGTTTAGGATTGAGAAATTTTCTCTACTAAGCTAGTTTGGCACCCCTTACTTTAATATTTTTAAAATTTTGGTATTGAGGACGATACAAACTTAGGTGGGAATGCGAATTGGGAGGTTGAAGCAGATCGGGATATGGATCTAACTATTGAGGCTTAGAGATTTATTTACTAGTTTTAATTTCACAATTTTGATGATGGAATAATATTTATGGATAATAATTTAGTTAGAGGAGAGTTATTCGCTGTTACTTAAGATTTCTGCGATTTAAACCTTTAAAGGTTGATTTTTGTTTTTGAGGTTTGTAGTTTGATGAAGTTGAATACAGTTGCTTTAATTTATTTTATGGTATCTTTAGTTATACTCTTATGATTTTAAAAGTTATGTTAGATTACGTATGTTATTGAATTTGAGGCTTGACAAGTCCCCTTGTTGTATTGTTCCTGTAATTTTGAATATGGGCAGCACATGATTCTAGAGCGTATGAACTAAATATCTCTTGGTGATGAAGTACATAATGTTCTATACAAGTTTTGAAACCCAGCTTTGACATCAACCTCAAAAAGGGACTAGGTTAATGGGTCAATTGTTCAACTGTTAGATCACTAACTTAGTTACATAATCTTTTTAAATACATAACACCCTCGTGCTCTGCGCACGAAATCTCGCCCAGAGAGCGAATTTTTCGTGAATTCATGCTCTCATTTTATCTGCGTTCTTACTTGCTTGTATTCTTATTTACTATTGCTCAAATTTTTATATGAAAAGTACTGACCGATGCCTAAAGATACATATTAAACTAAAATAATATTTGTAAACTATAATTGTCATTTTAGGACTTTATAATCAACACTTATTTAAAAATTAAATAGTTTCTTATAGTTGTGCATGAAATTTTAATTTTTGATATTTTATTTATATTAAAATTTTATTGGTGAACGTGTATCTGTATGCATATAATATGATGCTCTCAAGGTGCTCCCACTTTCAAATTTTTTCAAATATTGATGCTTTTGCACTCTCTCTCCCATCCTCGCTCCTACTTTATGTGATCTAGTCACTAGTCAAACCAGGAAAAAAATAAAAATAAATAATAATAATAATAATAATAATAATAATAATAATAATAATAATAATAATAATAATAATAATAATAATAATAATAATAATAATAATAATAATAATAATAATAATAATAATAATAATAATAATAATAATAATAATAATAATAATAATAATAATAATAATAATAATAATAATAATAATAATAATAATAATAATAATAATAATAATAATAATAATAATAATAATAATAATAATAATAATAATAATAATAATAATAATAATAATAATAATAATAATAATAATAATAATAATAATAATAATAATAATAATAATAATAATAATAATAATAATAATAATAATAATAATAATAATAATAATAATAATAATAATAATAATAATAATAATAATAATAATAATAATAATAATAATAATAATAATAATAATAATAATAATAATAATAATAATAATAATAATAATAATAATAATAATAATAATAATAATAATAATAATAATAATAATAATAATAATAATAATAATAATAATAATAATAATAATAATAATAATAATAATAATAATAATAATAATAATAATAATAATAATAATAATAATAATAATAATAATAATAATAATAATAATAATAATAATAATAATAATAATAATAATAATAATAATAATAATAATAATAATAATAATAATAATAATAATAATAATAATAATAATAATAATAATAATAATAATAATAATAATAATAATAATAATAATAATAATAATAATAATAATAATAATAATAATAATAATAATAATAATAAATAGGCTAAACATTTATAATAATCATGAAAATAACATTTTTAATGTATATTAGATCAAATAAATACCCAACCAATGAGGCAAAAAGAATATCACAAATAATTTTAGAAATTAAGTCAAATATTATCTCAATTCAACGAGTATAATCTGTCTCCTCGTGAAACAAACTCACACCAACACATAGGTATGGATGTTGCTGTTATTGCAGCTCAACACACCTATCGAGTGATTGCAAATTCCGGAGTGTATTGATTCTATTGAAGCAAATCCCTCGCCCCATTAAGATTTGACACGGCGGATTAGGCCGCAGTTGGAGAGTGAGAGTGAAGGGATAAAGAGTGGAGAGAGAAAGAGAGAGACGAGTGAGCCGATAGTGTAAGACTCATATGCCACCCATAGCCGGAGACGAGCTTCATCGTCGATGATGAAGTTGAAGTGTGTGGACAATGGAGAATAGAGGATTGGGTCAAAAATGGCCAAAATTTCTATTTCTATAAGACTTCTTTTGGCATGGATGGTTTGTATACATGCGCGCCCACCAGGTTTAAGCGGTCAAGACCAAAACTGCCCGGTTCAACGAGTCATTGGCGGGTGTGATGTTCAAATGGTCTGATTGCTGAACCGATCCGTTTTCAGTTCATCACGTTTTCAGTTCATCATGTTTCCAGGCCAATCCATCGGGCTGAGCCGAGTTTTAAAACACTAGTTCTATGTCACCGGTTCTTTTCCTATCATTTTTTGATATAACTTACATATGCAAGTATACAATTTTCATTTGTTTTCTTGTAATGGATTTTTGAGAATTATGGTACTCGAAATCGACTAGATTGAACTGTAGAACAATCTGGGATGTGGTCCAACGAGTGTATATGTAAGTTAGATGAGCTAGTTACGCCTACTACAAGGGAGTGGTGCACATGAGTCGAAAGAAGACAACAGTGTGAGTGGTGCACATGAGTCGAAAGACTAAGGTTACGCCTACTACAAGGGAGACTCTTGTTTCTTGGGAATTGTATTACTTGGAAAAAAAGATTGTTGTTACAGGATGTTTGGCTTAAAGCTTTTTACAGGATATTGCTTAGCTTTTACTGAATACTTTGCTAAATGGCTCTCCCTGTGCACTGTAGCCATGTTGGCTATTTATACTATGGGTAGTTAGGGTTTCTGGTTGGTCCCTTTTGGCTAATTATATAGTACCCTTTGTGTTTGTCTTTATCTTAGAGTTGTGGTCCTGGATGCCTTTCTGCACCTACTACTTGTCAACTGCAGTACATGATCCGTCTCCACTACCTATGAGTTTTTGTTTATCAGAGCCATCAGGTAATATTCCCTTGTCCCCTATCCACGTGTCATGCTGCAACTTTTGCAGACTGCCCTAGTGCTGTGCTCCCGTCTCCTGAGCTGGTATCTATACCGAGCTCATTGACATCGAACATCTCTGGCACTGGGTCGCAACTCAGTTCGAACCCAATGAATGTTATTTAGATGAGCTAGTTGGGCCGCCTTTTCGGGTTTAAAGGGCTTATTTATGTGATACAAAATCTCAACATAGAGCCGTTCATATATAATTCTCGTTGGGTATTTTGATTGATAGGGTATTAGCGGTTAATATTTCTATATCTTATATTTGTGTTCTACAAGAAATTTTTTGATTGATTTGATGTTGTGAACATTCTGATTTTACATAGCAATTTTGAGTTCAACAGATTCATGTTTGGAATAGTTTTCGATTGCAAAAATATAATATATGTAGCATTTGTTTGTGGATATGCATCATTTTGTGGTTCTGGCATCCTACGAGTCGATCAAAAATTGATGTATCTAGGATGAGCTGATGTCTTTTTTGGAATAACCCTATTTCTCCGGTACAACAAAGTGAAAGCCTATTTTGATGGTTATTTTAGTTTTGTATGGTGGAGAGGGACCTTTGCATTAAGAAGAATCCACCTATAATGTCAAGAGTTCTATCCTTTAGGGAGAGTAAATACATGGGCAGCCACTGTTGCTCTTTTCCTAATAGTTCTATGGGGATTAAATAATAGAGTATTTAAGCCAAGTCATAATTTGCTAATCAATCACTCCAAAATCATGAGATGTGTTTGTCTCATTAACTACTAGAGAGAGAGAGAGTACCAAATTATCATGGTTTTAAAATGCTAGTTAGACATAATTTATTGACTTAATGATCTATAACCATTGAATTGACAATGTACATTAATATTTATCAGGAGCCACAATCAATTCAATGATTGTGATGAATTATATCAATAAATTATGTTCAAATAGTATTATTGAATAAAAAATATTAACGGCATGTAATGCATTTAACGTAAACTAAGAATACGTGTGATCACTCCGGCGGGGTGAAATGATAATCAGACGTAGACCCTCTCGAGGTATTTGTGATATTGAGACATCTCACGCAACTTTGTTAGGGGGGGGGCGGTAGAAGTTACCAGGTCAATTGTGGACTTTGACAATTGCTACATTTGTGCTTCTCTTGGCACAAAAATTAAACTCACCTTGAGAAAATAACGGGTCAGTTTCAGTTTAGCATAACAAATTAACCACCAAAAGTGGATCAAACTACATAATTAAGTACAACATTCAAGTAAGGTGTATGTTGTGCCTGCATCTAATAACAAAATAAAAAAAATTACAGTTTATCTGAAATATTCTTGCATTTTATCATTGTACCCAAAAATCAATTGCCAGAACATGCTAAGTGATCAAATCATCATCCTTTATTACTTCTCCAAGCACATGATAACTCTTTCAACATACACTTCAATCTCTTCTGTATAACAAATAGAAATCAACAAATTGTTAATAGTATGCAAAGAAAATATCAAACAGAAATGGAGAAAAAAGACATATAAGAAGCTAAAAACTGGTGTGATGCTACTACTTACACAAAAATGAGATCTCCTTATCTTGGAGGTTTTTGCATTTTTCCTTTTGATCCTTCCTGGACAGCACAATCCTTCCCCATCACTATAATCTTCTGTAACTATACGTTCATACCTCCATCGCCATTTCCTCCTATGAAACATTCCCCAAGATGATAACTGAAGCCTTGGGGATCCCCATTTCTGCTCAACTCAAGCCATTGTTAGTCCTATATAGTATGCAATCAAGTGTAGCTATATATGCATGCACGGAAAGGGAAAAAAGCTTAACTTATGTTTAGGCTTTGAACCCTTCATGGACCCTTCCGATTGTCGAGAATTGGCATGCCTTAACTCTTGAGCATAGGCTAGGAGTTGTGCCCGACGATCATATCCTCTTGCTCTCTCATTTTTAGGCTTGGAAGAGAGTGGGTTTGGTTTAATTCTTCTGATGGAATCGCTTCTCTGATTTGAACGTATTGTCAGTGATTCTATGTAGATGGTTATGATGACCTTGTTCGCGGTGGCCTTCTCCTTTTCTCCAAGTCCGTCTCCCGCAACAACCATGGATGTGGAATGCTCTAAAAGCTAAATGCTTTTGCATAGGTGACTAGATAGAAATTGGGGCCTCAGGCATAACACTTAAATAGGGCCCTTTCAGACATTGATATAAATGTATAAATACGATATTAGGAAAATAATTCTTTTTACATTTTGAGATCCAAAATTACTGATTACATTTTTATATTCCAATTTTACTAGTATATTACTTTCAAAAAAAATTACTAGTATATCATTCTAGTCTCTTTATGTAGTTTAGTGTTTTGAAATTCTAGTCTCTAAAGGGTGCAGATTTGAGGTACCCAAAAATGGAAAAATTGGTTTTAGCCCTTATAACATGGGCAAGCAGGCTGAGGTCTTATTTCCAAACTCATACAATAGAAACCCCCACTGACCAGCCGATGAAGCAAGTACTCAACAAGCCTGAGTCCTTTGGATACTTAAAATCATTTTAAGTATTTTAACCAATGTTTGCTTTCACGATTTTGCATTTTTTTTTGTCTGGGTTTTGTCCCTTCCTCTAATCTTAATCGCATGTACAGTAATGTACATTTGTGCATATAAGAGTATAAATCATATACTAAAACATATTTGGCGTCCTTTTGTGGAAGTAGTTAAACATGCTATAAGATAAATTATTTTTGGCTTGAAAAAAAAAATTTATAGTTACCAAATGGTACTTGGCTTACCATAATGGCATACATAATATTACACACGCAAAGGACAGAAATCATAGGTCATGTTTAACTGTGTGCATATTGCAGTGGCGACACAAATGGTGCGCTACCTATAACAACTATTAGGTATGTCATAAAAAAAGCCGAGGACTTCAGTTAAGAGGTCTGGTGTCCTTGGTACATCAAGGAAGAGGAAATAACTTAAATTTGTAATCACTTTTCCACCATATTGACTGTAGCACCCCCCTGCCCCTTGGTCTCTTTATTTGCAAAGGTCCCTTGTGATTTTTACTGAATGTGTTTGCCTATTAATTTATTTCATTTGTTAAAAGGTAATTAACTGGCAGAATTTGATTTCCAGTGAGCATTTTTTCTTTTTGATTTTCATATGATTGCTAAGCCAACCTTTGATTCTACTCCATTCATGGTTTTGCCTGTGCAGGTTGGTGGGTATGTAGTTTTTTTTGGGTCAAGAGGTGGGTATACAATCAAATACCAAAACTTGACATTTGTTATAATTAGAGAAGCTGGGTATCTTATTCCTACTTATCAATTGACTCGGTCCCTTGTTGTCTTCTCTTCATTCATAAATGGGAATCTTCCCCCTATAAACTAGAGTACAAGCATTGGTGTTTAAGGACTAATTAAGGGGATGAGAATTACAACTAAATCAATGCAATGTTTGATAGTTTTTCTTTTCTCTTTAAAAGAAACTGGTTATTCTAATTATCAATTTATAGCTATGTTTATACTCAAGCCTGCATTGTGTTAGGTATTATTAGTGGTTGGAATTGGAAAGAACATCAAAACTAGTCCTTGGTAGTGCATGCAACAAATTGCAGTGCCCATGATTTTTGTGGGAGAAATTAGACCAAAAATAAATATACAAAAAATGGAATAATAAAGACTCAACAACTACAACAACAACAATGACGATGACAACATGAAAACAAGGAGGTGCAGGGGAATAGAATTTATTAAGTTGGTGATCAAACTTGACCAAACTTTTAGCCCCAGACAATCAGTCTAGTGTACAAAGTTTTCTAATTTTGAGCATTCTATTTTCTTTAATTTAATTAGTTTGTCATCAAGGAATAATATAAATATAAAACATTCCTCATGTTCAAAACGAACTTTTAGTTCTCTAAGATGGTGGCATAGAGGACATGGACATTTGCATCAAGAAAAATCCACACACTTTGTGAAAAACATTTGTTGAACTAAAATAACCTTGATAACTTGAATAATGTCCATATTATCTTTTTCATTTAATGACAAATAACTAACAGTGTTAAAGATTACTTACACTGTTGCACTTCTAGTTATTTATTTTTTGTATTTTTCATAAATGCTACATTCTATAAGCTAAGCAAGAGTTAAAGAAGTTCATCGGTCACTCATAGTGTTGCATTTCCAATTCATCCAATCCAAAGTTCAATTTTCTTCAGGTTTTGGTTGTATAAAATTCATTGTTATCAATTTAAAAGTTCAATATTAGTAGTTTTCTCCCTCTTAATTTCTTATTTCTCATATCTCTCATATTATTGTACTTGCTCAAACCCTAGATTTATGAGTTTTTTTTTATTGTGGTCACTAAATTTTACTTTTATTGTTCATGTAAGCCCCCACGTTCTTATTTGTTTATAGTCCCGTAATTGTTTTTGAAATGCTAATATATGTAATGAGGTATGCATGAACTATGTAAAGGATAAGAGTAGAAATAAATATGTTAGTGGAGGTAATAGGGTATGTTGTAGAAAGTTAGAAGTATTTCAGAGTGAAATCGCATTTTAGAGATAGTTTGGGTAAGATTGATTTTTGACACTGCCTTAGTACTTGGATTATAACTTTTTATTTTGATATCCATTTGACCTGAAATTTTGAAAGTAGACTCTAAACTTCTAGGGTTACAAAATAGTATTTCACAAAAATTTTTCAAATCAACCTCTAAATAGGTCAAAACTCCACTGGAAGTTTCAGTAAAAACTGGGAGGACGTTCGAACGACAGTAAGTCTCAGTACTTTGATGTTTGCAGAGCTTTGATGGAAATACAAAACTACTAGAAAAAACTAACGGTCGAACACCAAGTGATGTTCGAACATGAATCAATAATTTACACTATTGGTGTTTGAACGCCAAAGTGACGTTCAAACGTGAGTTACGAAATTTGAGTTTCAGAATCACGCACAGGTCATTTCTTTCACTATAAATACTTAAGGACACCTTCATTAGTCTCATTTCAACACTTATAACCCTAGGAAGTCTTAGAGAGGAAGAAAGAAGGAGAAAAACACAAGATTAAGGAGGATTTTCACATTGAAGTGGATCAAATCTCAAGTTCTTCACACAAAACCAAGGAAGAAGGTAGGAATTTTCTTCCACTCTTATTCATTGATCCTAGGACTTATATATACATATGTTTTTGACTCTTAATCATATATATATTTGTTATGAAATCCTTGATTCTTGATATTCTCGCAACTATTACCATGTGTTTGAGTGAAGTTATGGTTGATGGCCATAAAACCTTGTTCTTGATGTCAAAACCTAGTTTTTGAGAAAGATGAAATCTTCTTCTTGATATTCTTGTGCTCTTGATTCAAAAAATTTAGTGCTTTATTTTGAACAATAAAAGTATGTCTTTTGATGATCTCTTGCTTATTTCTTGAGAAGTTATATTGACAAAATACCTATGAAATTGGAAGTTTTTGAAATTACTTGTGATTTGAGAAATTCCTATGAAATTGGGGGTTTTTGAAATTACTTGTGATTTGAGAAATACCTATGGAATTGAGGGTTTTTGATTTATTGGTGATTTGAGAAATTAGTTGATATTGTATCTCTTGCATCTTGCATAGTTTGTTGTGATGGACTTGAATTGCATTTGAGAACTGTCATAGAGTGTTAGAGGTTAGTTTATCCCAGTGGGGGTGAGATGGTTGCCTAACACTTGTAATGGATTGTTGTTTGTGAGAGCAACCACTATTGTTCACGTAAGTTCGAGGTTGAGGGATGGTACANTACAACAACAACAATGACGATGACAACATGAAAACAAGGAGGTGCAGGGGAATAGAATTTATTAAGTTGGTGATCAAACTTGACCAAACTTTTAGCCCCAGACAATCAGTCTAGTGTACAAAGTTTTCTAATTTTGAGCATTCTATTTTCTTTAATTTAATTAGTTTGTCATCAAGGAATAATATAAATATAAAACATTCCTCATGTTCAAAACGAACTTTTAGTTCTCTAAGATGGTGGCATAGAGGACATGGACATTTGCATCAAGAAAAATCCACACACTTTGTGAAAAACATTTGTTGAACTAAAATAACCTTGATAACTTGAATAATGTCCATATTATCTTTTTCATTTAATGACAAATAACTAACAGTGTTAAAGATTACTTACACTGTTGCACTTCTAGTTATTTATTTTTTGTATTTTTCATAAATGCTACATTCTATAAGCTAAGCAAGAGTTAAAGAAGTTCATCGGTCACTCATAGTGTTGCATTTCCAATTCATCCAATCCAAAGTTCAATTTTCTTCAGGTTTTGGTTGTATAAAATTCATTGTTATCAATTTAAAAGTTCAATATTAGTAGTTTTCTCCCTCTTAATTTCTTATTTCTCATATCTCTCATATTATTGTACTTGCTCAAACCCTAGATTTATGAGTTTTTTTTTATTGTGGTCACTAAATTTTACTTTTATTGTTCATGTAAGCCCCCACGTTCTTATTTGTTTATAGTCCCGTAATTGTTTTTGAAATGCTAATATATGTAATGAGGTATGCATGAACTATGTAAAGGATAAGAGTAGAAATAAATATGTTAGTGGAGGTAATAGGGTATGTTGTAGAAAGTTAGAAGTATTTCAGAGTGAAATCGCATTTTAGAGATAGTTTGGGTAAGATTGATTTTTGACACTGCCTTAGTACTTGGATTATAACTTTTTATTTTGATATCCATTTGACCTGAAATTTTGAAAGTAGACTCTAAACTTCTAGGGTTACAAAATAGTATTTCACAAAAATTTTTCAAATCAACCTCTAAATAGGTCAAAACTCCACTGGAAGTTTCAGTAAAAACTGGGAGGACGTTCGAACGACAGTAAGTCTCAGTACTTTGATGTTTGCAGAGCTTTGATGGAAATACAAAACTACTAGAAAAAACTAACGGTCGAACACCAAGTGATGTTCGAACATGAATCAATAATTTACACTATTGGTGTTTGAACGCCAAAGTGACGTTCAAACGTGAGTTACGAAATTTGAGTTTCAGAATCACGCACAGGTCATTTCTTTCACTATAAATACTTAAGGACA